TCTCACACTTTCCACTACTTCAATCCTAAAGTTTAGGGTTGCTAGGAAAGCTTCCACGCTTAGAGAGAAGATAGTAATTCATGGATTATCTTAGCATCGATACACTTTCAAAAAAGTATGCGGAGGAAATTCATTTTATTAAACAAAACCTTCATGTGGATTGAAATTAAAATTAAAATCGTATAACATAGGAAATTCATTTTATTAAACATAAGCTTCATGTCGACTACTTTTTAGCTAAAATTAAAATCATATACTTCAATTCTTTTTAGCTTTTCACACTTTTTTGTTGGTTGGAGTCTCTTCCCCATTATCTTGTCAACTGCTCATGCTTAAACAAGGATACAAGTGAAGTTCTAGCACTATTTGATTAGCATTTTTGGAAGTATTTCTATTGTATGTGAACTACGTTCGCTTATATATATATGTGTGTGTGTGTGTGTGTGTGTGTGTGTGTGTGTGTGTTTTTAAAAACCAATCAAACAAATGATTTACTTGAGATGGCTATTTAATTCAACTAGAACAACAAGTACTAAACATTACCTAAAACGTTTGAAATAACTATTTGCCCTAACTTACAAATTGGGAGGTCCCAACCACAAGTTATAGTTGCTTCATGTGAATATCACTAAATATATTTTGGAATAAATTTTCGGAGAACATGTTAAGTCAATCACAAGTTTTCAACATCTAAATGCAACGAAAATATAGTTCGAAAATACTTTTATTTAAATCGCTAACGAACTAGGCATTTTTACAAACATCTTAAATGCAATCAAAATTCAAATAACATAATTAGCCCTATAATTTTAAAGCCAAAATTTCTCATGAAATATTTTGCAACAACTCAAGAACAAGTCATTGAAGCAAAATCCATATCAAGCCTTGCTTCAATGCAAATTTCGAATCAGTGTGAGCCAAGAGAGACTAGAATAAAAATTCAGAGAGAACACTAGAGACACATAGGGTAAAAATCAGAGAGTAGTTTTAGAAGATGGAGCATTTCAGAAAAATCCACAGAGAATAAAAAAATGTTCAACCGGTTGTTCCGGTGTCCAATTTTCCAAAATTTAAAGAATTCAATGGTCAGGATGTATTTATGTAATCCAATGGCCAATAATGAAGTTGCAGTAACAGTTCCCTATAGAATATTCTAATTCACAAGCTTGGTGAGGTCATAGTGTGCCACTCTAGTTTTGTGCTAATGGGTTCGGATATGAATCATAATCTTGGGTTTAACTCACTTTTTATAAAATGAGTTTTTTTTTTTTTATATTTTTTTTTACTTTTTTTAGTGATTTTTTAAAATATTTGGATAAATTATCAATAGGCTTTAATAGTTGGAACTAATTCTCATCAAGTCTTATTAAAGATAAGTCTTAGTAAAATCGTCGCTAAAAATAATTTTTTGTGTCGACTTTTTTACATATATCGCTAAAATTTGACAATTCGGGACTTTTTTTGTCACGATTTTTATAAATTGTCGCTAAACCTTATATTTAGTGACCTTTTTCTTTGACAAATTTTTTAAATTGTCGTTCAAAATTGAAAATTAGTGACAATTTTTAGTGGCGATTTTTTAAATTGTTGCTAAAACTTATAATTAGTGACATTTTTTCTGACAAAATTTTCAAATTGTCGTAGAAAATTAACAATGAGTGACTTTTGTTAATAGTGTTTGATGAAAAACGCCATTAATTATGATAGGACCTATTGGACAATAAATCCATCTATTAGCACCTGCATGTAAGTCCCCCTAAATATTTTAAGTAATTTTTTTATTTTTTAGATACACTTAATATAGATACACTTGAAAAGAATAATATTTATGAAAAAATAACTTCAAAAAATTCATCAAATACAAAAAATATGAAAATTCAATATATTTTCGTATTTTGTTATATTCAACAAAATTTTTAAAGAATTTTGTACAAATTTTATACTTTTTAAGTATATCAAGATTAAACGGATCTAAAAAGAGACATTTATTTATAAATCCCTCTTCACCTACTTATGTTCTACTAAGTGCAAATTATTTTCTAATGTTCCAATAAGTACTATGATTGACATAGTTACCAAAATATTCTTAATAATAATAGGATGAAACGCGAATTAATGTTCACATTGACAATGTGAATGTTCCGTGATGTGGACATTCACACTATCAATGTCAATATTCACACTTCATTGTGAACATTCACATTGTCAAATATGAATATTCACATCACCAAATTGCAAATGGTTCAAAAAATATTTGTAAGGATAAAATTGTCCATAAAATATCTTAAATATAAGAATTAAGATTTGGTGGGTCACATATGTAAATAATATGAATTATTGAAATATAAGAATATATTATGAACTAATTGGGATACGAGTGCTTGAAAGAGAATTTCCTAATAAATTTTTCATATAAAGAGCAAAAAATATTGATTAAATATTTAAAAAAATTATTAAAAATATAAAAATACGAATTAAAAAACTGTTTTTAAAAAACTTGACAAACATGTTGCTAATAATCTAGAACTACGTTATGGCCTAAGTGGTCTATAAAATTATTACTCTGATAGAATTTCTATTATGCTCACTTATTTTCAACACTTAATTCTTGTTTCTAATATGTTTCTTCATCTATCTTTTAATTCAGGTTGTTTTTTTTCTATTCTAAGCATATGAAACAATGACAATGCAATTGCAAACTATATCAAATCATCAAAAGATAGGGAATATATATATACTAGCGTATGCCCGTGCCTAAAGGCACGGTGTAAATAATATTAAGATTAAAATGCAGTTATAAAAATATATTTAACAGTTTGTACTCTACAATTTCAAACAAATCAAAGATTAAAAAAATTAAATATCAAATAATGCACACCAGCCAGTGATCTGCAATTTGAAAAAAATTAAAACTAAAATGCACACCAGTTAGTGCTACTGCTGCCAATCAAATTATAACTACATAAGAAAAACAAACATTATATTGTCATACACCGAAAGAGTGAATTAAAACTTCATTAAAAAAAAGTGGTTAAAGTTTTCTAGAATTTGTATGCTTTACAGAAGATGTGTCAATAACATGTCTTCAAACATGTATTTGCCCAAACTTCCTCCTCATTACTCTCGAAAAAGTCTTTGTATCAACTTGTATGTATCCCCAATGAGGAACATGCACAACAATCTGGTAATTTGTGGAAATAAAAAAATATATATAAGTTGGTATATTTGTTAGAAATATACATATCAAAATACATTGAGATTGAAATTACCTTATTATATCCCCATCGAAGCAAGCTAGTTGAATTTCTCCTTTTAAGCTCCATAAATTTTTTGATCCAATCCTAAAAAAATCCATATTTCCAATTATTATTAAATTGAAATTTTATTGAAAAAGATATATAATCAATAGAAATAAATCTACATGGTTACCTTTTGTGAAAACGTGATTTAATGAACATGGAACACTACAACAATACTTCAGGACAAACAATATTTGTAGTAGAATCCAAACTATCTTTGGGGAGGAGAATACTTATACGATCAAAGGATGTACATCTGGACAATGCCACATATAATTGGCCATGGCTAAACTCATAAAAATGTACATTAAAAATAGTATATGACACTATGCAATTCTTTAAAAAAATATATATTAAAACAAAATTTAATAAATTTTTGGAAAACAAACTCTTTTAAAATGTTAAGAAACCATACCACAGGATTTGCATGTTCATTTCCTTTGTCAGAAGGCATAGCCTTTTCTGTCTCCTTTGATATTGCTTTGTGTTTCTCCTTTGCCTTTGCTTATAAAAAAATAAGTAGAATCTATTTATAAATAATTTATAAAATGATAAAAAAATGCATTTGCATATTAGTTACTTTAAGGCTTACCTCATGAATGCGAATAGGATTAAGGTCACGCTCATCGCGAACAACATTCACATTTCTTTGTTGAAGAAATTGAATCTATATATACAAAAATTTTAGAGTGATAAATAAAACTTTATACAGATAAATAAGAAAAAAAAAATCATTTCTTTCTTGATATTACCGTTCGGTGTAAGTCTTCATCCATCTATAAAATATGAGTTGTTTACAACATCTATTAGAAGAAAATTAGATATGATAAGTTTAAAATAAATAAATAAATAGGATTTATTTTAAATAAATAGGCTTTACATTATAAAAGAGGTACTTAAATTTATATGGAGGCGGAGAAAAAAAATATCTTACTTGACCGAAAATAGTAATATTATTCATAACTGCTGTACTTCAACCTGAAAATATTTGGTTATATAATTATGACAGTTGAACGATGTATTTTAACGAAAATAAAATCAGCTTTGGCAACATAAAGGGTATTAAAATGGGAGCACAACAATTGTCCAAATTTGAACTCCTCTCTTCCCCAACTGACTTCAATTTTATAGTCTTCAAATTAAATTTATGATTATCATTTAGAAAGTCCAAACATAATTTTATGACCAAAAAAAAAAAAAAAAAAAAACTGTTTAATCAGCAATTTAAACAGTTGGTAATGAAAAAAGAAAAAAATCTAGAGGTTAATTTTCTAATTGTTTACAAAAAAAAAAAAACTATAAAAAAATCTATACAATATTTTATAGTGATTTTAAAATTTTTAATTTAAAATTATAATTCTGAAACGGACTTTATTACTCAAACAATACCTAATTAACATATCCTCTCAGATGACGACACATAATTATTAACTCCACACCTGGGCCAAACAAAAAAAATTGAATAGGAGAAAGAAAAAAAAAAGGTGGAAAAATACCAAATAGATTCTCTGTAAACTCATGTACACTATGTCTGTAAATTCATGTACACTATGTTTGTAAAAATATTTTCAATACCTTTACTCATATCATAGTTTCAACAACAATAAAACTAATCATAAAATTAATCACAAAAGATACACGGGAAAAAAAATATAACTACAATTTTTTAAATATTTTTGATAATTGTACAAATGCCTTATATTTTGGATGGAGGCACTATCATTTCCGCTTGCCTTATTATGACCCTTATTTTCCTCAACCTATTCTCGTAACCATAGAAATTGCGAGGCCGGTTGATTAAAATTGTCTGTTAGGATCCTCCCTCAGTTACCACTGGAATCTTTAGAATGGGCTCATGATTATTTGAACAAAAACCTGCAAACAATATGCTTTTTACAATTAATTTATCTGAACTCGAGTATTTGATTTTTTTTGGAGTTTCATTTTTTTTATGTTTGTTTGTATTAAAAAGCATCCGAACTTGTAAAAGTGCAGTGCAGTGCATACGACAGCATCTTGACTCATAGTACAATACTGCTGTATTAATGGAAGGCAAGAATGATTCATTTGTTTTCTATATGTTTGAAAACACTTTATATGATAGTTACATATCAGAAACAATTTCTGTTGGTCAACTATATTCAAAACCTCAACTTCTACAATTGGAATCTCTTCTTCAGATATGCTTTTCTATTAATTTGTTTTTTCCATTATTCTTCCTCTTTTTCTTACTTTTAAGTTTTATCACTTGAGTATCCAAAGAAGTGAGCTTAAGCTTTAGCACATTTCTTTCCCTGCTTAATGAGCTAAAACTACCCTTCTAACTTATTTGTGCATATTTTCTCAGAAAAAATTGCCAGATATAAATTGCAGTTTTTGACATTTGACATTTGTATATGGGGAAATAATTCCATTTCTTGTACCCTACTATATTATTTGAAAATTGTAGTTACTTTACCATTTTAATTTGGATGAAGATATATATGAAACGTTGTATCCAATTATAAAGAGACATATATAGAAATTTACATGGGCTTCTCCAATTCCTTGAAAGTATTTAAACAACTCTTGTATATGAAAACCATTCCAACCTATCAAATGTGTAGAAAAATCTATTTTTATTTTTTAGATTTGCAGAAAAATGTGCAGAACAATTCCAACAATTCCATATATAGATTTTATTTTTTAACATATCAAATGTGCAGAAAAATCTTCTCCTGCCAGAACAGAAAAAAATATGTTCGCAATTAGAAAGGGAGAGATAAAGAAGAGAAACAAAGAGGGATTGAAGATTCGAAGCAGAGAGATGATATTCTCTTGCCAGAACAGAAAAAAATATGTTCGCAATTAGAAAGGGAGTGATAAAGAAGAGGAACAAAGAGAGATTGAAGATTCGAACCCAAGTGAAGGATTTTAAAGTTAGAATCTCACCTGAAATGTCTCTGCTTTCTTTGCAAGCCTTTGAAGGCAAAATCTGAAACAACAGAAATGAACCCAAGTCAAGGATTTCAAAGTTAGAATCTCACCTGAAATTTTTGGGCAGAAAAATCTATTTTTATTTTTAACATTTGCAGAAAAATGTGCAGAACAATGCCAACAATTCCATATATAGATTTTATTTTGTAACATATCAAATGCGCAGACTATGTTCAAAACCTTAACTTTTACAATTGGAATCTCTTCTTCAGATATGTTTTTCTATTAATTTGTTTTTTCCATTATTCTTCCTCTTTTTCTTATTTTTAAGTTTTATCACTTGAGAATCCAAAGAAGTGAGCTTAAGCTTTAGCACATTTCTTTCCCTGCTTAAGTTTTCAGATATGATCCTCTCTCTCAATATTTTTTTGTTTTGCTAAAACTACCCTTCTAACACATTTGTGCATATTTTCTCAGAAAAAATTGCCAGATATAAATTGCAGTTTTTCACATTTGACATTTGTATATGGGGAAATAATTCCATTTCTTGTACCCTACTATATTATTTGAAAATCGTAGTTGCTTTACCATTTTAATTTGGATGAAGGTATATATGAAACGTTGTATCCAATTATAAAGAGACATATATAGAAATTTACATGGGCTTCTCCAATTCCTTGAAAGTATTTAAACAACTCTTGTATATGAAAACAATTCCAACCTATCAAATGTGCAGAAAAATTTATTTTTATTTTTTAGATTTGCAGAAAAATGTGCAGAACAATTCCAACAATTCCATATATAGATTTTATTTTTTAACATATCAAATGTGCAGAAAAATCTTCTCTTGCCAGAACAGAAAAAAATATGTTCGCAATTAGAAAGAGAGAGATAAAGAAGAGAATAAAGAGGGATTGAAGATTCGAAGCAGAGAGATGATCTTCTCTTGCCAGAACAGAAAAAAATATGCTCGCAATTAGAAAGGAAGAGATAAAGAAGAGGAACAAAGAGGGATTGAAGATTCGAAGCAGAGATGATGATAAACAGAAATGAACCCAAGTGAAGGATTTCAAAGTTAGAATCTCACCTGAAATTTTTCTGCTTTCTTCGCAAGCCTTTGAAGGCAAAATCTGAAACAACAGAAATGAACCCAAGTCAAGGATTTGAAAGTTAGAATCTCACCTGAAATTTTTGAAATTTTTCTGCTTTATTCGCAAGCCTTTGAAGGAAAAATCTGAAACAACAGAAATGAACCAAAGTTAAGGATTTCAAAGTTTGAATCTCACCTGAAATTTTTCTGCCTTTTTCACAAGCCTTTGAAGGCAAAATCTGAAATCGCAATTCAAAGCAAAGGATTGGAGAGAAAGGAGAGATAAAGAAGAGGAACAAAGAGGGAGATAGAGATAAGGAGGAGAAATGTGCAACAGAAAGGGGGAGAGAGATAGAGATGGAAGGGGGAGGAGACGTGGGAGAGAGAGAGTAGAGTGTGTTTGGGCGGGAAATATATTACTCTCAACCATTAGATATTCATTAGGATTGATCTAAACCCTCCATTCAAAATGTATCTCACATATATTTTAACACATTTTTAAAAAACCTCTTGCCTTATTATATAGATATATAATACAAAAACATTCAAATCATGAACACATAAACATTCATGTATATATATCATGGACACAACATAAATCAAATTTGTGAATACCTTCAACCCATGAATACAACTACTAAACACAAGAGATAGAGATGAATAAATAAATAAAACCCAGACTCAAAAGCAATAGTAATCAAAACCCTCAGAAGAGATTAAGATCAACTAGATGATTTTTCAGATTCTTCATTAAGAAATTAAATATTTCTTTTACATAAACATAACAAAATCGATCACAAAAAAGAATAGTAATAATAATAATAAAAAATTGTTCGTGTCCCAACCAACTGCTATAATACCTCCTCTAATTCCCACCACCGTTCCCTCCACCATTAGTGTCCTTTGATGGTGGTGATGGTGAAGATGTAACCACCAAACAGTGGTGTAGGGGAGGGTATTGAAATATTAAACTTACTAAGCAGTGCATTTGCCTTGATGTCTAACAGGTCCACCTTAGAGTTAAGCAAGTTCACATTCACCGAAGTTTGCTTCACTTCGGATTTGCTGCTTAGAGTTAAGCCCTGTCATCGATTTCAGCAATTCAGTAGCTAGATGCTGTGTTAGTGGCTCGCTTCAGCATGGTATCGAGTAACCCATGGATGATCACCAAGTTAGAGATGATCTCCTAAAATAACTCCCTCCACCATTAGTGACTACTGGTGGTGGTGGTGGTGGAGATGGCAAAGATATATCACCAACAAGTGCAGCAGGGGAAGAGGGTACTGCAATGTTGAAGTTTTTCAAGAGTGCATTTACCTTCAGGTTCAATTCTCTCAAATCCACCGTAATGTTCTTCACTACCATCAAAATATCCTTCACATCTGTTATCTATTGCTTAGTGTCTAGTCAGTCATGGAGTTGAACAACTCAGTGCTTCCCTCGTTGCGGGTCTTGTTGCGAACAGAGGCCAAATTAGCTCCTCATTTAAGCATTGAATCCACCACACCTTGAATAACCAGTAGCTTCGACATTTCAAGTCCTATACGTTTCACAAACAGTTTAGTCCAGTTAGTATATGAACCAAACAACAACACGAAGAAGAGAAATCAAAATGAAATAAAATGAAATATACCCATTTAGGATCCTTGTTGAGAGTTTCATTGTCCTTCTTGTTCTTTATCTCAAGAAAATCTCTCTCCCTCTGCCTTATCTATTTCTCCATCAACCCTCACTGGCCAAACATGACTGCAGTCATGTTATCAGAAATGGAATCTCCTACACAACTGTATATATATGAGAGAAGAATTTATAGTAACAAACAAATTTAAGGAAATAGTATATTTGTCAAAATGTTTTGTAAAAATTTATTGCATTTTGAATAGTAAATATCTCATAACATTTTTTAATAATATATATCAATTTTTTGAGCAAGACATAATTCTCGATGGGTTAAAGTGTATATACCCACGACAAAAGTGAGTCTCATTAAGCTTGTAAATGTGTGATTAAATTTTAGTATGTGTGCTCTACTCAACAATAAACAAATTAGCAACTCATCAACTAAATTATCTGACCCCACCAACCCATTAAGCAATTCATTAATTAGTGTTGACACTAACAAATCTTACAAAAATTAGTGTCGATACTAGCAAAGTTTATCAAAAATTTGTGTCGACACTAGTGTCAACACTAGCAAAGCAAAGAAAATCAAATCAAATAAAAAATTAGTGTCAACACTATTGTCTCTCTACACTAGAAACCAATGTCACGTCCCCAAAAATAATACAATTAACCCATCCATAAGAGAAGGGTGCATAATAGAAGTGATATCCTTTCATTCATTAGAGTTCGTAATACAAAAGATATTACATGTATTATACATTCATAAATGTTCATCCTTAATCTATAACATGTAACATTAGTTAATAACAACAAAATAAATACCCTATATGGGCTTACATGTTTCCAAGATATCACTTGGTTGCAGCAAAAGAGAGTCTTGTGCTCTATACATGTGAAGCCCTCGACTCGAATAAGCGTTTAAACACAAAACAACAAAATAGAGCCTCAAGCTCGTAGGTCCTCCCAAGTTATGTCCTTAGAGGAAGCATGTCACCGGTACCTAAAAATGGTTTCCCAAGTAGGGTGAGCCAAAACCCAATAGAAACAATTTAATACAATGTATGAAGTTTAACTAAGATATAAGTGTCAGATAAATATTCACTATTCAAGATCAACTTACATTCTTTCTATAACCATTCAATACTGATATTCATACCTCAATCCATTCTCATTTATTCATTTCAAGTTAATTCATTTCATTTCAAGTCATATGGAAAATATATATAATTTTCCAAATAATCCAACTGAGACTACAACTCAGTGGTTCCCTATCCACATAACCATCATACAAACACTTCAACCTCGTCATTTTATAGAAATTTCGTCCGTGGGATCGGCACTCATGTATACATAAGATTTTGGGACTTTCACCCTGAACACTCTGGCCAACTTAACTCTCAATAGAGTCCATCCCTTATCTCCTCCCAAACAATGGAGTACATCCCCGTTCTTCTTCCAAAACATTATATGTATACAATGTATTTAAATTCATCGTCATATACTATGACTATTCATAACGCATATTCAATGCCTTAATCATACCATCATATTCAATGGTAAACTTAAATGATCAGTTTTAATTCACCTAATCATAATGCAATTTCTGCAACAATCATAGCTATCCTCCACCGATAGCCCAACACAGATATTTCTAAACAGATATACAATCTTTTTAGCAGATAATTTATCAAATTTTCCATGAATGAGTGATTAAACAAATCCAACTACACCATTCATTTACACCTTTTCCCAATTTCACATTTTTCACATCAATTTCATTATTTATACAAAATAAAATTGAAGACACATTTAAGGTAAACCTCCCCCTTATTCAAATATTAACCCAAAGGCTAAAGTCCATCATTTTAACACAAGATATCCTCATATTCAATGTAGTGATCCCAGTTTTGAACCGTCTCTTGTGGTGTTCTGGGCTCGGGTTGGTATGGTTTTGAACGGTGTTACATATCTTAGTTTCCCTTGTATTTCCCTTATTTTTTGGTTATCGAGTTGTAGTGATGTGTTTGGAACAGGTAATGTCTCCAAACCTTTAGATGCGAATCCAACTCGAATTGTGTCTTGCAGAGTTGAATTAGAAGTTAATTCTTTCATTTTTTCCACTTTGCTAAGTATGTCGAGGATCGAGCTGCCTTGTCAGCTCGCGGGGGTCCAAGGGACAGCGCCCCTTGGCAGGTCCGAGGGTAGTGCCCTGGCAAGGTCAAGGGGTAGCGCCCCCGAAGCCAAAATGCAAAATGCATTCGAAGTTGCTTAAGCCGCATGTGCGGAAAACATGGGAGGGCTTGTTTGGCTACTGCAATAAATGCAGGTATGGGAGTGCAAGTGCGGGAGAAGTGCCGTACGTGCGGTGGTAGGTGAGTCCCAAATTTTGGTCTTTTCTTCTCTTTAGGCTGAGTGTATCTCACTCTTGTTAGGTCACTCTCTCTAAAAACCGTTTCCTCTCCCTTCTCTCTACATTTCCCTACGCCAAATTGGATCAAAACCTTGATTTCTCAAGATCCATTACAGTTCTGCCATAGTTTCTTCATCAAAGTTGGTTAACTTCTCGAGGGCTTCATTGTGTGCAGTGAAGATCGAGTTTTGACACCGTTGATTTTGGGGGTTTCATCTCATTTCTTCTTCAAAACTTGAGGTAGGGATTTTCTTAGAGTTATATATATATTTTTGCAAGATCTAGAAGATTTTTAACACCATCCTTTGATAGCTTTGAAAATTGATTGTTGATTCAAGAAGATGAGAAATATTTGAAAGTGGGTTTGTCTCTTGTTCTTTTAAAATGATCTTATGGGTTTTAATCTTCGTTGAGTGAAGAAAAGATGATTTTGGGGAGTTTTCTTTCAAGGGATTTGGGTTGTATAGTTTTGGTGAGGAAACCTAAAATTTGGGGATTTTTTTAAAAGAGATTGAAAAATCCATGGATGAAATTGTTATATTTATTTTGTATGCCAAAATAAATGAATGTTTGGAAAATTTATTGTTTTTGTCTATATAAATGATGAGTTTCATGGAATATGGAAATTGTTGTTCAGAATATTACTGTACTCTAGAAATGACTAATTGTTGAGGATACTTGAGAAGAGGGAATCGTACTATTCCTTGGATGATGAATTGGGATAAAAGTATTTATATTTATCTTGTGAAATTGCATTGAAACGAGAAATGAAAATTTTGATCACAATGGTAATATTATGTGGAAGAATTGGAAATGGAAGAATTGTTACATTGTGTTGATTGTTGTTGCATTGACATATCAATTCATTTGATTACATTAAACTTTGAAAGTCGATTTGAAAACTTGCATTGAGAAAGGAATGTTGAGAAAACAAGTTTTCACGGAATGGTTTTGGGGTAAATACGTTGGTACGCCTTGATAGGTGGTGTAGATGAAATTGAATAAATTGGCCTGAGGGTCCAGGGTGAAAGGCCGAAAACCCGCACGGATAGGTGTTGAGCCTTCCGGTTAATACCGATAAAAATGGCAATTTGGTAGTACTAGTATAGTCTACTTGCACACACAGACCTAGGGATTACTGGAGTCGTATTTACTACCCTTGAAATAAATTGTTAACTTTTGAACTATTGAAATTGCATAACATCATTGAGCATGTTGGTTTTCAAAAGATGAAGATGTGAATTACTTTAAAAAATGG